ACCAGCTGACTAACGTTTTCCCAGTGGAAATATTGAATAATGTTCTTTATTAAAGGAGTGGAATCCAGCTTTAATATATGTTTTCTTGAAGACAAAATGTTGCTTCACCTATTTTGTCTTTGAAAGCATAGTCATATCCTTATTGTTTTAAAGGTAGTGTATTTTGGGGCTTTAGCTTCTCCTTAGATGGATGACAAGCATATTTATAACAAACTACACACAGTTCCTCCTCTACAAATCCCTTTTTACCTGTTCACACTCCTGTCTGATGTATGTTAGTAGTGGGTCCCTCCAGGGGGGAATTGCTCACTTATTCACTCTCAGTTACAATAACTGAAACTATTCAGTGTTCTTTTACACATTGCTCCTCCACTACTCTCCTGGTCTCCTTTGTCACTAACATCAAAGGAAGACAAAATGGATTTTATCTTCTAGCCTATAATCACCAGGGACCACCCAGCCTTCAGAGGTGAGGAGCATACTGGGTGATCGATACTTTGGATGCCTTTGACATCTTCTCTGATGTGCTACTGGGTTGCTGATGTAGCCTTTATCCTCCATATTTTTAATCTCTTTCTTCCCTGACTCATGACATCAGAGAGTGCTCCTGCACCTCAGGCTGAAACAATTTATCTATCTCCTGCTGAGAGGAAGATTAATGTATTGACATACAGAGGATGATTCACAAATGACACTCTTTGCCTTAGAGTTGAGTTATCTAACCCATTTTAGTTATCATCTGTTTATGTCATTTACTGGCAGATATTAGGACTGCTCACAACTCCAAAAAACACCTGTTAGAGAAATGTTAAATAGAACTTTGATCGAAGGCATTTGGCACATGTTGAGCTCAACGTCTTTTTATATTAAATTCAATCATGGTCATACATTTTAACTCTTTTTCTTTTCCTTTTCAATACATTTACAGCACTTTCGTTCGTTCCTTTATGCTATTTTCTGAATTGGTACAGCTTTTTTTCTGATTTAGTACAGCTGTTTGTTTATTTTAAAGCTCTTTAAAAAGTTTGCATATTCAGCTTCTATTGACTAGCTGAGCACTAGATAGATGGCGCTATAAGCATCAGTTTTCCTGCAAATGAAAGCAATTTAACTAGTTTAAAAAAAGCTGAATAGCAATAAAATGAGAAAAAGTGAGAACATGGGCTTTCTGGCAACAGTAAGTGTTTTGGTGGCTTAAACATGGATAAGTATTTGGTATTACTATCACCCGCTGCACAGTGGCAGCCCACTGTTCCCCATAGGGGATGGGTAAATGCAAAGATTTAGTTTCTCCACTGTGAGATCAATAAAGTTCATTTGGTTTATGTTATTGTTTTTATTATAGCAGTTCTTTCAAAGGCACTTTCCAACAAAGAAACAAAGCAATACGCTTCATGGTGTGAAATATATGTTTTTACATCACAGCTTTATGCATATCTTACAAAAAAGGTAAAAGTATTAAGTTTCTAGAGCTGTAATGTCAATTCCTTTAAGTATAAAATGTTTCTATTTTTAATAAAACAGGGAGTGGACAGGAAGAAAATACCTTTTTTGGAATAAGGTCCAATCAAGGAAAACCAAGCATCATAAATAAACTTGCATCTCATGTGGCAATGTGATCCTTTCAATAACTCGCTGTCAATTCCTTTCTGACCCTCATAAGTCAGAAGGCAAAGGTCTGCTTTAATGCTAAGCTGAGGATAAATCCCAGTGGGGAGATATCCTCATGTAATCTGAGCTTTTCTTGCTAGATTATGTCCATCTCATAGTCTTAAGGTGGTCGTGTGAAATGTTATTGCTCAGGTCAGTGTGTCTGTTGTGACTGCAGGGACTCGGTTATCCAGACAACAGCTGAGCAAAGAGGCTGCAGCACTGTTAAAGCTGGCCTGAGACTCAGAAAACTGGAGACAAATAGCTCTGACTGTTTAACATTCCTGTTGCTGTAGAAAAACAAAACCTTTTCAATATTAAGCACATTTCCGAGGGTTTCTACATTGTTGAGCTATATATCTGAATCAGTCCTACATCATTTTCTCTGAAATATGACTCTACAGTAAAAGTTTACAAACCTGAACATTCCGTCATCAGGGCAGTTCGAGTTTCTAAGTCTTCATTCCTGAGCTGCAGCTCTAAATGTAATTTAGTCCAAGACCATTCAATGTCACATAGGGCATCAGAAATATTGTAAAATGCATCCTTTTACATTGCCATGTTTTCAGACTTGTGGTGGTATGACCTCCTGTACTTTCCTAGAATCTGACTAAAGCATTTTGGAGGAGCTGCAGCTGCCTTAGTATTTTTTTTTACAAGTTGAAATAAAGAAAGTTTTGTGAACAATGTAGGCTAATATGCAGCTTTTAGTTGACTGTCAGCATTGACCACTTTATTTGACTATTCTTCTTATAAAAATAAGATAATCTAAATATTATATAAATACCTCAGTGCAGGTATTGATGGGAAACTGACTTTGATTGGCCTTAAAAAGAATCTTATCGGTTTTCTATCGACAAAACGATGCTACCTTTGTTTTAATATTTTTTTTTTTCTTTTTATCTATAGCTGAGAGAAAGCGGCTCGATAAGCTGATCAGGAAGGCCAGCTCTGTGATTGGATGCCCTCTGGACTCAGTGCAGGAGGTGGGAAACAAAAGGATCCTAACTAAATTAAAATCTCTGTTAGATAATGTCTCCCATCCAATGCATAAAGTTGTTGCAGAACTGGAGAGCTCCTTCAGTGACAGACTGCTGCACCCTAAATGCACCAGGGAACTTTACCTCCAAACAGCTGTAAGACCCTAGAACCACCACTGTTCCCAACAACCTCAGCAAGTTGTTATTTGCACAGTTTCTATCTTCGTCAGTTAAATAACATGCTGCTGTCATTTTGCACATCTCTGATGTTGCTGCTATTTTCAAATATCCATTACTGTAAAAATGTCCATAGCTTTATATTGGTTATTTATTCTCCAGGTGCAGTTTTTATAGTGTTAAAACCCTTTACAGTACAGTATTTTATTGTTTATTTTTTAACTTTTCACTATTATGTTATTATTTCACATTTGTGTGACCATGTTTTTTTAATAATTTTCTTTCTGCTGTAAACCAGAATAAGTGGGAACAATAAAGGGATTTTGAATTCTATTTCTATTCTATTCTAAGTATAAAATCCTTGCTGTTCAGGCAGTTAAAACCGATACCTGAATACATTTTAAAAGACTTGTATCATCAACTGCAGTTAGTACAGTCATCTCCTATTACAAAATGTAAAACTAAGCAGCAAAAAAAACTGCTTTGTTTCTGTAACCATCAGCATTTCACTTTTAACCCAGTCCCAGCATTGTTTATTCATTTATTTCTTTTTATTTTGTCTTATCTGATTGTATCTCTTCCCTGTGTTTTATTATCTTCAAGGTTATTTTTTATGTCTTTCTATTATTTCATTCCAAAACATTGCACATCAGCTTATTTATTTTTTTTTTTACTGAATATTTTTGTGAAATGTGTTGCTTTTTGTTTGGAAAGATTAGAAGATACAGCTTTTGACATATTTGGGATCAGCGAACACCCAAGTGTCCAAACTGAAATGTTCCAGAAAATGAAAGCAGTCATCCTGTATCTGTATTTCATCTACATTGTGCATGATGCCACCACCACCATGCTTAGTTGAACATTATTATCATATTTAAATACCTGACCCTTTTCAAACCCTAATTTATACTATAAATTCACACTGACCAGTTAATTTTTATATATATTATATATAATATATATATATATATATATATATA